CCCCCCCCCCCGTTGGTTACCCTGCCCGGGTGGGAGAGGAAGCCGGGCTCGCCCAGGCGAGGGAGACGCCGCCGCTTGAAGGGGAAACGGGGGGATTTCCTGACTAGGAAAGGCTCTGCCTTCAGGAGACAGCTTGGGGGGGGGGGCAGCTGCCCCGTCCCGCCCCCCCCCCGTTGCCAGAAGAGGGATGCAGGCACAAAGCGGAGTCGTGTGGGGCGTCCCTGGGGGGCTATAGCCTTCCCCCCCAGGAGTTTCTGCTCCGGGGCAGGGGAGTGCGGGGGGGGGCTCCTACACTTGAGGTGGCGCGATGCGTGTGTGTGTAAACATGTATGTAGTGTAGATATATACACTGTACAAATCTCCTCGTTCACGTCTGCGTAATAATCCACCCGCCTTTGGGGTTAACTTTCTGCTCTCCCTTCTCCGACCTGCTTTCTCTCCCTACTTCACTTGCTTCGGGGGAGCGGGTGTTCTGCCCCCCCCCCCCGAACCGATGGCCAAGAAAACGAGCTCTGTAACCCGACCGGAGGGGGACGCATCTATTTTCAGATGCCGGAGCGCGCGGGGGGAAGGTTGGGAGGGGGGAGCCGGGGCTTAGCGATTCCCGGCCTTCGCTCGCCGGAGCGCCTAGTTCAGGGGTAGGCAACCTTGGCTCTTTTATGACTCGTGGACTTCAACTCCCAGAATTCCTGAGCCAGCACAGCTGGCTCAGGAATTCTGGGAGTTGAAGTCCAGCTGGCTCAGGAATTCTGGGAGTTGAAGTCCACGAGTCATAAAAGAGCCAAGGTTGCCTACCCCTGGTCTAGCTGAAGCAGGCGATGAAAGGAAAATTGGGAGAGAGAGAGAGAAGGTGAGCGAAATACCTAAGTGTCAATAAAGCTAAATATCTATTTTTGTACAAATGTAATTTTATCCCTTACGTATGCTTAATTTGGTGGGGGGGGAGGGGGACTGCTTTTATAGGATTTGTCCTAAATCTCTCGTGAATACGCTCAGCCTTAAGACCCCCCTGTGAAGCAAAGGACGAGCTTTGTTTCGTGTTGAAATGTCTTTATCCCAAATCTAAGAAATCACTTTTCAGTGAAGGGATTTCGGTCCCCTCCCCATCCGGAGACACGCAAAACACAGCAACGTCTGGTTGCGCCCCCTCCGAGAGTCTCTTCTTGCAGCATTATCTCTACTGTGAAATCACGGCCCTATATTATCGTTCACTAAAAATAAAGCTAATTAATAAAAAAAAAAAATCTGCTGGAAATGCCAGTATTTTGATGAAATGTATTAGGGTTGTTTTTTAAAAAAAAAACAAAAAAGGTAAAGGAAAATATACGAGCGTGTTAAAGCACCGGCGTTCTGGTTCTCTTTTCTTTCGGACGTTCCGCGCTGGCTTAAATTTGCCCCTCGGGAACCCCGTTTCCGTTACTTTTTGCTACTTAGAGCGAAGTCCGAGAACGTCCGTATATCAGGACACGGGACGCTGACCTGGAAGCGGCGTGGAGGGTGAAGACTCAGACCTCGGCTGTCACTCTGCGTCCTGTTGCTGGGGG